ATATTATGAGCAACGATTCTCGCCGTCGGGGTACGTTGATACGACATGCGATAGAAGTACGTTGATGACAACTTAAAATAGTGTAAAAAATTACTGGATAGATGGACTCTTTTAAAAATTGACATCTGCTTTACCTATTAAACTAGGATAATTTGCAATGTTTGCAGTAAAATTTACAATCTTCTAAATCAGGGAGTCAAGGTCTATCTTTCACTCTTATTTAATAAAGAAACTTATTAACTAAACTATCTGTGTAGAATATTTGGTCTAGATCGTCAAAGCCTTGAGACTGAATAACTAACTAAGTACGCCCTTTTGCTTCGCCTCCTTTTGGCTGGCTGCACAGAGCGTGCGCAACAGAGGCAGGGGACCTGTCTACCTGTACCAGCGTCTCTCAATCCGGGTTCTTCTGACATGGCAGCGCGGCATGTGTCACTGTCCAGGCGACTGGGCGAGTTGTTGCGTGGCTTGTAACACAGACTGGTCATTGTAGCGCCAGTTGACCCCTGCGGTAATATATCGCAGTTACATAAATAACAACATAAGTCGGGCCTGTATGTCTTGTTAATATAATCTCACCTGATCAACGGCGACAGCTGGACTACTAATATTTATTATGTCCGTCTGTCCATTAGAGGTGGGACCTCATCATTATTCATATGTTTTAGTATAGGAACATAGCAACTCCGTATATCCGGGCTTGGACTCCGTTAATCTTCGGCTGAAAAAAACCCTCCTGTTTTCGAGGCATGCAGGTTTGTCCTTTGTAATGTTGGTACTTGTTGTTACCCTGCCTGTCACTCAGCATTACGGGGCTAAAACAAGGATTGGTCGGCTCGGAGTCAGTATAATGTGTCTGAGTGGGGTATTCATGTTAAACTGCGGCATGGTATCTCAGTCGGCTCACAATAATCTGGAACGTGACGGTAAACCCCATATCACCCCCCCCCCCCCCCCCCCCCCCCCCACACACACACACACACACACGTACACACACCTACACACACACACACACACACGCACGCACACACGCATGCACGTCGCTATATAAATGCAACAATCTTGAACCTCACCTCTTTAATAGTGAAACCCCTTTAATCCGGACGATATTGTTTCCTGTGAACTTTTCCCGATTAACCTAGTTCCGGATTAACCTAATTCCGGAGTAACGAATCATGGTTACAGATAGGTATATATGTAATGTATATGATGTTACAGGTAACACACTATGTCATGGGTATTATAGCACTAAAGAGTGCTTCTAGTATATTTCATCGTAAAACGGTTCTTTGTGTCAATAGGCCCAAGCTGGCCTGACGATGCATATGTATACTATTATATTGTGATGTGATTAGCTGTCTGTGTTTTTTTCGCTTACGCCGCTGCACACTTCGATAAATTATATATTTTATACTTTCTTTCTTTCTGTAATACTGTTTATACGAAGATGTTTATTTTAAACACTTAAGTATGGACCAGTAGAAATATAAATAGGCGTTGGAGATTGAAAAATTTGGCTGGGCAGAGTACGAGTCGACAGTGTATTTGGAAATGATGAGTAATCAGCCCTGCATTGCACATCGTCGTTTTCTGAATACATCGTCGGGAAGATGCTCTATCCACTAGATCACAGATGCGGTGGGTGTGGGAGGGGCGAGGGTGGCCCTGTCGTCTGAGGCGTCGCGTTTCGCTGTGCAGAGTTGCGTCCCTTGGGCCCGCCAGAAACCTATGATTGTGGGTTCGAATCCCGGTTCACACCGATTATGTTTCTAGGTTTGTCAGCACAATACCCGTGCTCGTGGTTTCACCGAAGTGGTAAACGTGCATCACTTCGGGCTTTCCTCCCACATTAAGCTGACACGCCGCGATATTACTGGAATGCTGTTAAAAGCGGCGTTAAACCCAACTCACTCACTCGCAGATGCGGTGTAAACCTACATGGAAATATTGCAGTTACTTCCCTGTATGGGGCTGAGATTTTGTGTGTATGTAATAAGAGTAAACAATAACTGTAAGATTGACATACATAATCAAATTTGGTGAGGTATTATGGGGTTTAACGTCGCGTCCAAGATTATTGCATTTGAATAGCGACGTGCAGGCACGTGTGTGTGTGTGTTGTGTGTGGCTGCTTGTACAAGTCCGTCTAATGCCGATTTTATAGTGCTAGCCCACTGAGATACTATGCCGCAGTTTAACACGAATACCCCACTCAGACATAGTATACTGACTCCGAGCCGACCAGTCCTTGTTTTAGCCCCTTATGCCGAGCGCCAGGCAGGGTAACAAGAGGTACCATCTGTTTTGGTATGACGCGGCCGGGGATCGAACCCCGGGAGGTCGCTCTTCCACAAGACCACGGAGGCGGTCCATCATTAAATTAGAGTACCAGACAAAGAATAGGTATTTAAACGATTTTCACAACTTGATATATATCCCTGCTAAAGTGCCTACCGGTCGAGTTCGATAAAAATGTAGAGCTTTCACTTTTTTCTTTCAAGAGGATGTCATCACCAAAATCATGGACTTACGTAGATTTGATACCGACCAATCACATTGCAGGATTCCCAAATGTCATGGTAGATTAACCCTTGTCTCGAGATGTGGTCGTGTGGCCTCGGGGTCAACAAGTTCATTCGTCACGTAGAAGAATCGATCAATCTTGATGTTTCCCGTCGTATTGACAGAACACTGATCAGAAATACATCACTAATTATATGATTGTATGCGTGCGTATCTGAAACCTATCATCGTGGGTTGTAATCCCAGTTTGCCCTGATCATGTTCCGACTGGTGAGCCAGTTGCCTTCTGACCTGGCAGTTGACCCCGTATGGCTATGTATGAGGTCCGCCCACTGGCGCGTACCACTGTGAAGAAAGGGGTAAGGGGTGGTCCGCGACAAGAAGTACGAGGGACATCTGGTGTCTGGACGAATTCTGGTAGTTCTTGTCACACCGACCTCATATTTGTTTTATGAGCAACAAGTGTTTCCATGGGAGCGTAGTCGATTTCATGGTCATGACCTGCACGTGTACAACATGCGTACACCTTCTCTACCTGCAACAAACCAAACATGTTTGTCAATATTTGTGCATCGCCTACGCGTTTTTCGGGTTGGTTCAGTTTACCCTGGAATACCGGAAGGTTTTCCAGCACTCATTGTATCCTAATTACGAGGGCCGATGTTCATGATGTCAATCACCGGTTTGTCTGGTCCAAATTCGGCTTTTCGGTAGATCGTTAAACAACAAACAAACAGAATTTATTGTTAACGCATATAGTGTTAATTAATTAGCATGGGTAGGTCGAGATAAGAATACAAATAAATTTGTGCAAAATATGTTTAAAAAAATAATTAATTTAGCATCAGGTGGCCATGGACAATATAATTCGATCCATTATTATTCATTTTTCTTTGTTTGTTGTTTAACGCTGCACAGCTATATTACTGCGGACGGTAAATAAATCGAGTCTGGACCAGACAATCCAGTGATTGATCATAACATCATGAGCATCGATCTACGCAATTGGGATACGATGACATGCTTCAACCAAGTCCGCGAGCCTGGCCACCCGATGCCGTTAGTCGCCTCTTACGACAAGCATTGGTTGTTGAGGACCTATTCTACCCCGGATCTTCACGGGACCCATTATTATTTTGAGAGTTATCAGCTCGCTTTCGTTCATTTGTTTTTATACATTTACATGTTTCTAATAAGGCAATGATAAAGTCAAAAAGGCAAATGAAAGCACAATCGAACTATTTTCATCTTATTCTTTTATTATATCTTTAATGTAGTGCTGTGTATATACATCAGTGGGTGGATTCCGCGCTTTAAAAATGTCAAATTTTTATTATCACCATGATCATTACCCAGCGTGTCAGAAATGCTGTATCCCTGGCAGCAAGCCCGGGTACTCTCCCAATGTCCTGAACAGTCAACTGTATGGGAGGTACTGCATCTAAAGCACCGAGTGACTTGTGAAGATCTGGGGTAGAATAGGTCTTCGGGAACCCATGGTTACACTTAAAGGCGACTATGCTTGTCGTAAGAGGCGACTGACGGGATCGGGTGGTAAGGCTCGCTGACTTGATGGATGCATGTCATCGTACCCCAATTGCGTGGATCGATGCTCATGATGTCAATCACGGGATTGTCTGGTTCAGACTCGATTATTTACAGACCGCCGTCATATAGCTGCAATATTGCTGAGTGCGGCGTTAAACAACAAACAAACAAACAAACTAAAGCACCGAGAACAATGGGGAGTAGGACATTTGGTACTTGTGATGCAAGCTGATGTCGTTTGTTGTTAGTATCGCCAAATGAGTGAGTGAGTTGGGTTTAACGCCGCTTTTAACAGTATTACAGTTATATCTCGGCGTGTCAGCTTAATATGGGAGGAAAGCCCGAAGTGATGAAGTGAGCCCACAATCATAGGTTTCTGGCGTGCCCAAGGGACGCAACTCTGTATAGTGAATTGCGTCGCCTTAGACGACAGGGCCATCCGTGCCCCTATCGCCAAAAAATCTAATTCATACCAACATACATAGTTCTTGTATTCTGACTTTATTATTTCTTTGCTCTCATTACGACAAATTCGACATTGACGTTTCTGACTTTTTCAAAACTATTTCCTTCCATTCAACAAGCTGTTTAATACCTGACCATACAGGAATATCATAGGAATGCGGAGGTACGAGTATTCGGACACGATGTATGACTGCTTGAGTGACAGATCCACGTCAATAGGTCCTGGGTTATGCAACTTGTTTCAGGCAATGTATTACCAGCATTCTACCTTACATTGTCCTGTCGCCCAAGCTCAGTCTGCATAGACTGTCTAATTAATAATAGGGTCATCTGAACTTGTGGGTAGGGGTCACTTTCTCCACTGCGTCAAGGAAGTCAAATAAGATTAATCAGAGGTTGGAGTACTGGGTAAATATAACGCGGAACATCAGTTGAGGCTAGTTGCTGTTGGTGTTGTCACGACAATGGCCAGGAGAGACGTTGGCTGGACAATTGGCTTAATTATTGGAGTAGCGATAGCTCAAGGTAGGACCTACGTATTATTATTTCTTATTGAGTACTATGTCTGTATGAAATTTAAAATATAAATTCTACTCGAATAAAATATACTAAAAACCTCGTTCGTGCAAACCTCGTTTATCCGGATACTTGTCTTTCCGATCGATCTTGTTTGGAATGTCGAGGTGAGGTGAAATGGGGTTTAACGTCGCTTTCAGGATTACTGTACACACATTGCGACGTGCATGCACGTGTGTGTGTGTGTTTGGCTGTTCGCACTAGTCCGGGCAAATGCTGTTTTTATAGTGCTAGCCCACTGAGATACCATGCCACAGTTGCACCATGCTTACCCACCTCAGGCACTTTATACTGACTCCGACCGGTCCTTGCCGAGCACCGGGCAGGGTAACAACAAGTACCATCTGTTACCGTCTTTTGATGTATCGCGGATGGGGATCAAACCATCGACCTTCCGCTCTCCGGGCAGACGCTCTATCCACTAGACCAAGGAAGCGGCCCTAGATTCGCTAATACGACATTTTATTCGTCCGGATGATTAAAGTCTGAACCGGACCTCCCGGGTAACGAGGTCTCACTGTATTACCTCACGTACGGGGTTATTATCAACAGTCAACAGATGAAGATCAATAGGAACGCACATAGAACGTTTCCATGTCAATATTAATACAAAACGCCAGCGCCCGAGTATGTCCGCCGAAACAGATTAACGCCAGTTACTTGATAACAGGGGATGGGTGGCCCAGTCGTCTAAGGCGCCGCGATTCGCGGTGCAGAGTTGCTTCCCTTGGTAACGCCAGAAACCCATGATTGTGGGCTCGAATCCCGGTTCGCCCCGATTATGTTTCTAGCTTTGTCAGCACCATCACCGTGCTCGTGGGTTTCACCGAAGTGGTAAACGTCTAAGACCTGCATCACTTCGGGCTTTCCTCCCACATTAAGCTGACACGCCATGATATAACTGTAATACTGTTAAAAGCGGCGTTAAACCCAACTCACTCACTCACTCACTGCTAACATCAATGTTTTCATGAATGTTACAACTATGTCAAAGTACCCCAGTCACCAGAAGAGGCAAGCATGTTATCAAGAAATGCTCTGTCGTATCCCTGTATTTCTGGCACAGCACTTGTTTGTCCGGGTTGTTTACAGACTGCCGTCGTATGGCAGTAGTTCTGCAGTGCGGCGTCAGGAAACAAACAAACAAACAAACACTTACATTTGTATGCAAATTGTGTGAGTGGCATGTACTACCGGTGGGGCAGGACATGCTTTCCATTTTCGGAAACATCTGGTGTCATCCATTATTTTCAGTGATCCAGGACCCCGTTCCACAAAGTGATCTTAGCGCTAAGTCGATCGTAGCGCCCATTCTTTAACCCTGACTTACGACAATCGTAGCGCTAAGATCGCTTTGTGAAACGGGTCCCAGTCCCAAATTTTCATCGCTAATTTGCCTTTACGCCCAATGGAATCTGTGTCGGCGGATAATCGAGACTGGTTATTCTCTGGCCTTGACGTTTCATTTGTTTCACGTGTTTGTGACGGGTGCCACCGGTGATGCAGGAGACGCCCACATGCGCGAACACTATTTTATAGTGATTCATGAACACATGTTTATGATATATTCGGAATCGTACAATGGAATAATCTGCTTTCAACCATATATATTATGATTTTGCAAAGGGTTTTGACGCTTTTGTTATTATTCATACCAGTAGTAGAACGTTACCTATCGGCTCGAAAAGAACCAGTCCATGTTCACGCACAATGAATTATATGCACACGTAATGGTACAAGACCAATTTTAAAGTTTAAGAATGACAACTTGCTGTTCAGAATTAGGTGGACGGATCCGCTGATCGTGGGTTCGAATCCCAGACTTGTCCTAATTCTTAGGCTGTCGGAACACTGCCAATGCTCTTGAATTTCAATGTGGTGATCGTGTACGTCCTGCATAACTTGGGGTTTTCCTAGGGAAAGAGTGAGTGAGTATTGTTTTACGCCGCTTTTAGCAATATTCCAGCAATATCACGGCGGAAGACACCAGAAATGGGCTTCACATATTGTACCCATGTCAGGAATCGAACCCGGGTCTTCGGCGTGACGAGCGAACGCTTTAACCACTAGGCTACCCCATCGCCCCCTAGGGAAAGACATGCATACTCTTACCGCGAACACCAGGTGTCATCACCGATTTTCAGTGATCCATTCACATAAGTTTCACTGCATTTTACGACCAATGGAATCTGTTTCATCAGATATTCGAGACTGGTTTTCCCTGGCGTTGACGTTTTGTGTTGATAGTGAATCGGGTGGTCAGGATCGCTGACTTGGTTGATTCATGTCAAGGCACCCCGATGGCTTGAGGATGCTCATAATATCAGTCACTGCTCTTGCTCCGATGAAGTTCTGTTCAGATTGAAAACACAACTACATGTGCGCTGTTTTATGTTGTTTTCAGCGTCGAGTCAATGTACATCCGGGACATGCGCCAACGGTAACTGCAAGTGGGGGTACACAGGCTACGTGTGCGAGTGTGACGTCGGCTATCAGAATCTCTACGGCAATCAATCTGTATGCGTCGGTGAGTTACTTCAAATTCCCTGTTTGTAAGCCTTTATTTGATGTTTGGTAATAAGCATCCGAAAAATCTTACCTGGGGCGTGAAACAGACCCACCGACTAACGCGTGATAGTCACCCGCACATACTTATGTTAAGTATGGGACTAAGTGTAGTCGTAACGCTACAATCTCTTTGTGAAACGCTCACTTGCCCAAAGCAATCTTAGCGCTACGACTGTCTGAAGTCTATGTTAGAACATGATCGCCGTAGCAAAGATCACTTTGTGAAACGGGGCTCATAGCACACTTGCTCAAAGCGATTTTCGAACAACGAGTATCGTAAGTCTATGTGAGAATATGGCAGTTACGATAGCCGTAGCTAATATCGCTTTGTGAAACGGGGTTCAGAGCCCACTTTGCTCTAAGCGATCTTAGAACCACGACTAACGGAAGTCTATGTTACCATATGAGAGTCACGATCGCCGTAGCTAAAATCGCTTTGTGCAGTTGGACCCTGGACTACCCTCTGTGCTCTGAAGTCGACATCACGAGTACTTTATTCAGGGATTAGGCTGCCTCGACGAATTGTAAATGAAGATATCTGAATCGTCGATGGACTGTTGGTCTGTTGTGTTGCAGAGACATACGCATGAGTGAGTGAGTTGAATTTAAACCCGCTTTGGACAATATTTCAGTTATATCACGGTGTGTAAGTTTTATGTGGGAGGAAAACCCGAAGCAGATTTTGGCCGTTTGTCATTTTGGTGAAACCCACAAGCACGGGTACATGTGGACAAACATGAAAACATAATCAAGGCGAACTTGGATTCAAACCAATAATCATGTGTTTCTGGCAAGCCTATGCAATGTCCTTTATAAGGAAGTGGGTTGGACGTCTCTTTGAATAGTTTATCAGTTATATCACGGCATGTCAGCTTAATGTTAGAGAACAATGACCTACGGTCATAGGATACTGGCACACCTAAGGGACGCAACTCTGTACAGCGAACTGAATCTCCTAAGACGAATGAAACATTCATGGTCTGATGAAAAACAACTGATATAACTTATATTTAAAAGGCAGTTCTCTTCAAAATAAAAGCATAAAAAACCTGTCCTCTCCAGATATGAGACAAGGTGTCCACGAAAAGGTTAGCGTATCCTGCTCTTCCGGTGGCACCTGTCATAAAACACATGCATCACAGGCAAATACATTTACCTTTCCTTTTCACCCGTGAAGATCCGGGGTAGAATAGGTCTTCAGCAACTCATGCTTGCCCTAAAAGGCGACTATGCTTGTCGTAAGAGGCGACTAACGGGATCGGGTGGTCAGGCTCGCTGACTTAGTTGATGCATGTCATCGTATCCCTATTGCGTGGGCCGATGCTCATAGTGTCAATCACTAGATTGTCTGATCCAGACTCGATTATTTACAGACCGCCGTCATATCGCTGGAATATTGTTGAGTGTGGCCATAAACAACAAATAAACAAACAAACGAACCTTTCCTTTACAGATTACGATGAATGCAGGTTCAACACGATGTGTCCTGATGGTTGGTGCGTAAACTACGACGGGTCCTATGAGTGTAAATGTAACTATGGATTTAAACAAACTCCCGACAGGAAAGGGTGTGCGTGTAAGTATTGCAGATGTATTTATTTCATCAATATCGATCTTTATAATTTATTATGATTTAAGGAATGATTCATACTGTCTTCTCGTTTCATGTTTTTTATTAAACTGCCGGGCAAAAGGAAGTGTAAACCTATGTTTGAAGGTGGCTAACATGAAACAAACAAGGAATGGTTACTTGTATTCGATGATAATGTACGTGGATTATAGTTGTGGATTGGACATCGCATTTGCAGTGTTTCGAGGACTGTTTTCAGCCTGTCAGATACAATTTATAAGTGTATACTTTCTTTGGCCCGACGGGGCGGTCGGATTAGTGGTTAAAGCGTTCGCTCGTCACGCCGAAGACCCGGGTTCGATTCCCACATGGGTACAATGTGTGAAGCCCATTTCTAGTGTCCCCCGCTGTGATATTGCTGGAATAATGCTAAAAGCGGCGTAAAATCAAACTCACTCACTCACTCACTCACTTTGGCCCGACATTTAATGTATTTATTCACATAGGTATATCTTTAATGTTGGCACTAGGAACGGGACATATATTTGCAATTTGTGTGGCGGGATAGCATTAATTGAATATGATATTTGTTGACTGAGGTTGATATACGTACATAAGAGTTGACATCCACATATTCTCTTCCTTATGTATATCACTTCTAAATGCCTTTCTAAGTGTCTTTTTGTTTGAGTTCTGAGATACCAAACTATGTGCTTGGTCACTCAACATATATCATGTAACTTGGTGTCGGAACCAATGCCTTTTTATTGTCAATATATAAAACATAAGTCAAGCCTATAATAAGGTACTTAGAACATGCTACTGTGTGGAATCCAAGTCAGAATAAGTCCCATGTTTCTGAAAAAGATACATAAAATGGAGGTCGGGAGGTCAGGCTCCGTGACTTGGCTGATTGCCTGCCAATGTTACTCAATGGCTGCTCACGCTTAGAGTCCCTGACTTCCTGAATGAAACATGCTTATTTACAGGCGCCTCATTCACTGATGTGTACTATTCATCCCACGTTAATTGTTTATTTTCAGATGACAGCAGCACTCCATTTACGAACACGTATGCATTTAGAAATTTCCTGACGTCGATTGGATACACGAATCCAGATATGTACCTGGCACCAACACCTGCAAAACCTCAACAACATCCACAACCTCCAGAAATCTACGCACCGCAATCTCCAGGATTCCACGCACCGCAACCTCCAGAAATCCACGCACCGCAACCTCCAGAAATCCACGCACCGCAACCCCACAACCTTCATTACGGCTCACAGCAAAACCCCAGCCAATACAACCCAAGGTCCAACCCCAGCCAATACAATCAACAGCAAAACCCCAGCCAACGCAGTCCTCAACCACCTACAACAACACCAATGCCAGTAGATGCGGATCCTACTGATGCTCCCCCAATAGAAGAACCAACTCCAGTAAATCAAGGAATTGACCAAAACCTACAGATGATGTGGGAGGATCCCTATGGACCACAGCGCCCAGTGTTTTTGGACAGATCCCCTGTTCCGACGAATGTTCCAAGAAGTCTACCACCACCTTCAAATCAAGCTCCCAATCCGCAATCACCACCACTGCCGGAGTCCAATGCTCCTATGACATTTCCAAATCAAGTTCCTTCATTTACAAACCAGATTACCGATTTTCCAACGTCTCAAAATCAACAATCGTGGATCGAAGCTCTTGGCCCTCAGAGACCAGCCTTCCTGGATCAACCACTAACACACCCACCTCATCAGGTAAACGACCCTACAGGACAGTTCTATCAGCAGGGTCCTCCAATGAGAGGCGATCAAGGTTTTGTTCCAACTGATGCTATGGGTTACCCTGTGTCTGTTCCTACGCAGGAACATGTCCTTTGGAACTCTGATCCCCAGCAACAATTTCCAGTTAATTACGGTCCTAATCCTAACACAGGTGAAGTTTTAGTTGCTCCGCCTAACCCTATTCCTGGTGCTGAGCAAGTGCCAAACATGCCTCTCTCACCCGAATACACACAGCCACCAAATAACTCACCTTATTTCTATTCATACCCGACTCTTGACATCAATACAGGAACTCCACCTTCAAACTTCCAAATAAACCCCCAGTCAGTACCAATGGCTTCATCCGACGTACCGATAGTATCGCAGTCTATGAGCCAATACCAAGTGCCATTCTCACAGGCAAATCCCTACATGCCCCCAAATCCATATCAGAATCCTGAAAGCAACTTTGGTCCAGAGTACAACCAATGGCAACATCCTTACCCTTCCTACCCAACGTATGACCCATATCAACAAGTTACATATGGAGACACAAAGCCAATTAGCTCAAACAGTCAACAAACAGGCAGTCAGGTTTCTCCATTAGTCACAGATGCATTAGGAAATGAAGAAAGCGTTTCACAACTCTCGATAGCTGGGGAAATCCCGCCTACTGCACTATCAACGACGTCTTCTCCAACAAGTGAAGCTGTCGCAACGACCTTGACTCTGACTACAACAGAGATGGACGTATCTACTGTGGTCCTAGACACAAATGCTGTTGTAGCGACTGATGCTTCTGCACCGACACCCGTTCCTGATTCCTCCACTACAACATCTGTCACTACGCCTACCACAACAACAACAACAACAACATCTGCCCCTGATACTTCCACTACAACATCTGTCACTACCCCTACAACAACAACAACAACATCTACCCCTTCCACAACAACACCTGCTCCTGATACTTCCACTACAACATCTGTCACTACCCCTACCACAACAACAACAACAACAACAACAACATCTACCCCTTCCACAACAACACCTGTCACTACCCCTTCCACCACCACAACAACTACAACAACAACTACCCCTGATACTTCCACAACATCTGTCACTACCCCTACCACAACAACAACAACAACAACAACATCTACCCCTTCAACAACAACACCTGTTACTACCCCTTCCACCACCACAACAACTACAACATCTACCCCTGATACTTCCACAACATCTGTAACTTCCCCAACCACCACAACAACAACTACAACAACATCTACACCTTCCACAACATCAACATCAACTACCACAACCACAACACCACCTGTATATGATACAACCGGATCGGGTGCATCTACCTGGGTTAAACAGACGGGCCAGAATCTACAAATAAGTCTTGGAGTTGATTTGTCCGATACCCCTTCATCGGTTGCTGCAGCAACAGCACCCGCGGCCTCATTTGCGATACAAGCAACAGGTGTTCCCAATGACACCGTCCCAGTAACTGATGTTCCTTCAGTTGACGCAAAGACAGTCACATCAATGACAAAAGGCACGATCGTATACGCTGCATCAACACCAACGTCAACCAAAGCCCCCGAGGACCAGGGGAGTACACGACAACGGATAACTGTCCCCGTGCTGCCAGTAAACAATGCCAGATTTGACCTAACTAACTCGCAAGTCTCAAACAATGTCCCAGTAAGACCGCATTCGCCAAACATTATCCCCAAACAGTACATTCTAAAGATTCCATCAAAGAATACACCCCCACAAATGACTAGGCCGAGTCAGCAACCAAGACCAAATTACCCCCCAAGGCAGCAACCAAGCTCAAATTACCCCCCAAGGCAGCAACAAAGACCAAATTACCCCCCAAGGCAGCATCAAAGACCAAATTACCCCCCAAGGCAGCAACAAAGACCAAATTACCCCCCAAGGCAGCAACAAAGACCAAATAACCCCCCAAGGCAGCAACCAAGACCAAATAACCCCCCAAGGCAGCAACAAAGACCAAATAACCCCCCAAGGCAGCAACAAAGACCAAATAACCCCCCAAGGCAGCAACAAAGACCAAATTACCCCCCAAAGCAGCAACAAAGACCAAATTACCCCCCAAGGCAGCAACAAAGACCAAATGACCCTCCAAGGAGACCCATCGTTACTGACACAAAGTCCACTCAGCGTACACCGCAGTCCCAAGTCATTCGTCAAGTCAAATACCCGCCTAACGTACAACACCCAGTAAGGATACAGAACCAGCCCCGAAAGACGAACCATCCTCTTCAGCTCTACCCGACACCCAGACAATACCCGGTAACTACCCGGAATCATTACGTACTCAACACAAGGAGCCGACCTGGTCAACAGACGAGGCACTTCCAACCGGCAAAACAGCATACTACAATATCACGACCTCCTTCTCGCGTTCCTGTGTATCCAAAGCGGCAACAGACACTCAACCTGCCTCAAAATCAACCCAAATACCCACAGAAGCAGCATTCCACCATACCACGACCTCCTTCTCGTGATGTTGTGCATCAAATGCGGCAACAAACACTCAACCTGCCTCAAAATCAACCCAAATACCCACAGAAGCAGCATTCCACCATACCACGACATCCTTCTCGTGATGTTGTGCATCAAATGCGGCAACAGACACTCAGCATGCCTCAAAACCAACCACAAAATCCACACGAATATATTGGCTCCATTCGAACGCCCCAGTTCACACGAAGAGGGTTCAACTCTGTTTCTAGCGTACAGTCCCCTGTTGGGACCTGGACTAACACGGGTGAAGGACAAATGTACAAAGGGTATGGAGCAGGATCTGCTATGCAGGGTTCTCACCGAGCAGTTCTGGCTCGTCCCACCACATCGCGGGCGCATGACAGTTGGATGAACGCTGACACAGCTAATCAAGCAAATTCGTTTGCAAATAATGACGTCTTCATGTCGCTTCTATTTTCACAAATGTTGAATTAGGATATCTTTTAAACGAAATACGGAAGTTTATTTTATCTTCGTTATCGCTCTGTTATTAGCAAGGTTATCATGGAAATAATGACAAAAATAAGTATTTGTCTCACAAACCCGTCAGCCCCAACACAATGTTATTTCTCTTACTGATATTGGATTAGCAATACATTCCTTGATATAGTTATATTTATATTAGAACCCATTCCCTATCTTCCGTAACAAAACACCCTGTAGCAAAAATACCTGTCCAATAAGAACTAGTCCAAGGGTGCTTACTGGTGTGTTTTTTAACCTTGTACATCCACAATTATGATTGTAAACAAACTGTAACATATTCTAAAAAGCCAATAATTCAACTCATTTCATGTCCATATTTTTTATTTCCTTATTTATTGCCGGTTTACCATTTCATTCAATATCATGTTGTGTGATATCTTACGTGCAGTCAGTTCCATCGTTCACAGAATAAATACAGTCTGGTTATGGAATCCCAATCTTTTTTGTTTCGCAAATATACAACGTCAACGCCAGAGATTAACCAGTCTCAATTATCTGCCGAAGAGAAAAATATATGAATGGAGCACTGAACATCTGTGATGACACAGGGTGCGTGAAATTAAAATCTTAACACAGGTAGGCTTAGACATGTTCAACAAGAATGGTGGCAGCAACCAGAGTAGGGTTGTTATCTGAACCGGGAGAGCAGAACATGCTTACCTTATTCGCGAACACTTGGTGTCCTCACTATGTTTCTATGAGATATTGCATTTGCCAGAGTCTGGCTGTTTGGTTACGAGTGGCCCAATCGTCGAAGGCACCGTTATTCGCTGTGCCGAGTTGCGTCCCTCTGGCACGCCAGAAACCTATGCTTGTGGGTTCGCATCCCGGTTCGCCCCGATTATGTTTCTAGGTTTGTCAGCACCATACCCGTGCTCGTGGGGTTTACCTAAGTGTTAAATATCTGAGATATGTAACACTCTGGACATTCCTCCCACATTAAGCTGACACGCCATGATATAACTTTTAATATTGTTCAAAGCGGCGTTAAACCCATCTCTCATTTACTCACCCATTTGCTGATTTTTAGTGATTCATTCCTACAATTTTCGTCATTATTTTGCCTTTTACACCCAGTGGAACCTTTTTCGGTAGATACTCGAAACTGATTATTTTCTTGCGTTGTCGGTTCATATTTATATCATTATACCTAGGACAATTATTTGTTTGTTTGCTGTATAACGCCGCACTGCCAAGTTTATTTGTTCCTTGTCTTTTGCAAGTGTTGTTTGTTTTTTAACGCCGCACTTAGCAATATTCCAGCTATATGACGGCGGTCTGTAAATAATCGAGTCGGGACCAGACTATCCAATGATTGATACCATGAGCATCCATCCACGCAATTGGGATACGATGACATGCATCAACCAAGTCAGCGAGCCTGACCTACCACTAAAACTCTTTTTGAACAAGAGTCGAAAGACGATCTCCTTTATTTCTAGTTCAAATGGGTAAATTAGTGGAAGGGAATTGACTATTTAACCATTCTTGAACGATATCATGTACATTCACGCCCGGTTCCAAATTAAACTAAGAGGTGTCTACACTACAGTGCGTCTACATTATATTTCAAAACACAGTAGGTTAATAGCCTATTCCATATATACTGTTCATCTTACCTCCATGTCAGAATCTTGAGATCTGAATCATTCACGTCATCTTGATAAAATGCATATTTTTTATTATAAAAAAATATATACATTTCTGAGCGGTAAAAATCTCTTACACCAAGCTACGAAGCAAAAATATGAACGTTGGTTACGAAGAAAGTCACGTGATACAGCAGAAGTACCTCAACAGCCGATACCTCAACTCAGTCGAACTTCTGTTTTCTATCAACTTTCAATTTGTTTTAATCATTTACAATGGCAGATTGAAACATGTTGGCAAGGCATATTCGTTGAAGTAATATCACTGGGACTATATAACCAACGAGCAAGGTATATTCAAGGTAATTTCGTTGAAGCAGTATCACTGGGACTATATAACCAATGAGCAATGTATATTCAAGGTAATTTCGTTGAGGCAGTATCACCGGGACTATATAACCAATGAGCAAGGTATATTCAAGGTAATTTCGTTGAAGCAGTATCACCGGGACTATATAACCAATGAGCAAGGTATATTCAAGGTAATTTCGTTGAAGCAGTATCACTGGGACTATATAACCAATGAGCAAGGTATATTCAAGGTAATTTCGTTGAAGCAGTATCACTGGGACTATATAACCAATGAGCAAGGTATATTCAAGGTAATTTCGTTGAAGCAGTATCACTGGGACTATATAACCAATGAGCAAGGTATATTCAAGGTAATTTCGTTGAAGCAGTATCACCGGAACTATATAACCAATGAGCAAGGTATATTCAAGGTAATTTCGTTGAAGCAGTATCACTGGGACTATATAACCAATGAACAAGGTATATTCAAGGTAATTTCGTTGAAGCAGTATCACCGGGACTATATAACCAATGAACAAGGTATACTCAAGGTAATTTCGTTGAAGCAGTATCACTGGGACTATATAACCAATGAACAAGGTATATTCAAGGTAATTTCGTTGAAGCAGTATCACTGGGACTATATAACCAATGAGCAAGGTATATTCAAGGTAATTTCGTTGAAGCAGTATCACGAGGGTTATATAGTCCGAGTGATACTGCTTCAACGAATATACCTTGAATATACCTTGCTCATTGGTTAACTGAGATAAATACACGAGAGTTAATATCTATTAATCAATGACGAATGCAACGCGTTACAATCAAGTGAGTGAGTGTGAGTGAGTTTGGTTTAACGCCGCTTTTAACAGTATTCCAGTTATATTGCGGCATGTCAGCTTAATGTGGGAGGAAAGCCCGAAGTGATGCAGGTCTCAGACGTTTACCACTTCGGTGAAACCCACGAGCACGGGTATAGTGCTGACAAACCTAGAAACATAATCGGGGCGAACCGGGATTCGAGCCCACAACCTAGACTCTATAATATTCCTTCTATACGGATGATGTATACCAAGGTTTTAAAGAAACCAAACTTGTCCCTACGCTATCCAGAGATTAAGGATGATATATGGAAACAAATAACAACAATGTTCATCGTACTTTTACAAGTGTTGGAATAGATTGAGTTTTCAGGCTTTGGCATGAGCAATTCCAAAAAGGGATAATATGAAGCAGAATATACAGAATATATTCTTGCAAGTTCATTTTTACTGGTAAGAATATATTTCATTTGAAAGTTCCAATATTCAAAGATATGATATCCAAACGTGACACGGACTTGCTAAATTGAAAGATAAACATTTTTTGGGATATTTATGATTTCGTTTTGCTTTTCAGTTGCGCGTCTCCAGTCGTTGTTGACCCATCGTGTTTGGTTGATAGTAGCTTAGATGCACACATCCGCCCTTCTCGCCTTCAGGTATAACTAGGACACAATTGTGCAACTAATTACATCAAAATAAAAGTAGTTCAGTATGATGTACCCATACATATATGTATGAAATAACGACGATTTATTCATTACGTGAATAATACACGACTATTCCGGTTAAAATTGAACATGAATATACAGTCATTTTTATAATTGCTGCATGTGAAGAGATTTATATAATGTTGCCATGATACCATGGGCATGTTGCATGCTGAACAGATGAATAATAGATGGTGCATATACTAATACCTTGTACAGTTTGGGCGCACAGAAGGTGGCCGGTGGACAACATTGACAAATACGTTGCATTTTGCTTGTACTGAATGTTGCCAAATTCATTTGATTCCATATCTTTTGCAAGTGTTGTTTGTTTAACGCCCCTCACAGCAATAGTCTAGCTATATGGCGGTGGTCTGTAAATAATCGAGTTTGGACCAGACAATCAAGTGATTGACATCATGACCATCGATACGTACGATGACATACTGCTGAATGGGGTTCCACTAAAGTAGGGGAACATATTCGACATTTACGCCCAATGAAAGCTGTTTGTGTACTGGCGTATTGTCCTGGTGGCAGATGACACCATTACCCAGCTTCCCTCGTCACAGTCTTTATTTCATCACATTATTACCTCACAATTGCATAATCAATTCATCCTATGCTCCGTTTGTTGTTTAGCCTTTTGGAATGGCACCATGATGACATCCTCGGCAGTTCAGGACACGGAGGACATTACCATGTCAGCTGATGGACCAGTATTTGCCTTCCTTGGTGATGATGTTGTCAAATCACCGTTTTGATTGTTGTTTAGACTTAGGCTGGAAGTGGTAAAGCCAGGTTTCATCCAAAGTCGCAGATTGGTGAAATAACCTTTCTGGTCCAGCTTCAAACAGAGCTAGATTATCACTTGACGTTTTGTGCCTGGTGCGTTTTTTAACAGATGTAAGAAGCTGTGGAATCAAACCTGCTAACCCTTTCTTCACCGTGTCTGTAATAATGGCATGTACTTTTTCCAGGGAGATGCCTGCTTAACCAACAATATCATACTGAGTCTTTCGCCGGTATATTATTGATTTTCTGGTTAATGTTTGATGATCCTGACGTCACGGGACTTCAAGGACGGAGTCGTCGTTGCCAATGCTCTTCCTGCCACTCTGCTGTCCACCTATCCGTGTTATACTCAAGTTCATCTTCATGGGGGGGGGGGGGGGGGGGGGCCGGTCGGGTAGCCTAGTGGTTCAAGCGTTCGCTCGTCACGCCGAAGACCCGGGTTCGATTCCCGACATGGGTACAGTGTGTGAAGCCCATTTCTGGTGTCCCCCGCCGTGATATTGCTGGAATATTGCTAAAAGCGGCGTAAAACCAAACTCACTCACTCACTCATCTTCATGGATTGCTTTCGGTTCAGCCCCTTTTTTGCAAAAACAACAGAAGTTCATCCCCCTTTCACGCGTTGAGAACGCGTGTAACACGCTTGTGACAATGGTGCTCAACGGGTTGTACATAGGTTAAGCACCCGCTGAGCACGCGTGTGCAACGATTGACGCACGCGTGTGCCATGCGTGTAACACGGGACCGGGGTTCAGTTTGAATTTGACAAATAGATCAAATGAATAGTGAGATAAAACAAAACTATGAGATGTGAATCTTGAGTTAATGAGTGGCTATTGACTATGTTCACAAGACCATAGACACAATTTCGGCCCGTCTTAATTTGTGTTCAGTTGCTGGACTTATATTCGTGAACCATTCCACGAGAGTCCAAGTCTCGCCGTTGTGACTAGCCGACAGTAGAACAGTCTTGAATTTAGATACGCGTTCATTGATACGGATACTCCCGAGTTGACATGATTGACGCGGTTTGGTAAATGTTTGCAATTAATCAAGTGATTGTGTTTGTGAATTGCGGAAATTTCGTTTTAATTTTTACCTCAATTCCAGGTGAGTACAAATATAACGATGTTCGTTCGCCAAATGTATGCTTTAGATGA